GTTCTCTTGGAAGTCCATGCTATGTTGAAGACTCGTCTCTAGCACCACAACTCAAAGGCCTTGATTGATTCTTCTCTCATCCTTCGTCATTGCCCAGTTCTCTGATGCTGGAATATACTAGTGTATCCCAACAATTGTGAAGATGGCTCAGGACTGGGCAACTTCTCATTCTTTTACGTGTATGAAGTTGTCATGAGTCAGAGCCAGATCAACAGCAAGTAACAATGAATGCTAAGTGCTGGTCTGGGTGCTGAAGGTCCAGAAAGAACAGAACAAAGTCCCTGCACTCATCTTACACTTGAGTCAAGAAAGACAACACATTGTTTATTCTTCTAAAGGAAAATAAGTAAAAAATAAATTGTGTTAGTGGTTACAAATGGTTACAAATGCTATGAAGAAACCCAACAAAATAAGGGATGGAATAGGTCCAGGAAAATTTCATACAGCCTGGTCATGGAAGGCCTCTCGTAAGACAAGATTGGGCAGAGTCCAGAATGAATGGAGAAGAGGAGGGAGAAAGACAAGAAGAAGAGAGCCATGTGGATATCCAGAGGATAAACAGCCCTGGCTGAGGGAACAGCTAATGCAAAGGCATGAGGCATGAGTAAAACTAAACTTGGTTTTTTGAATAAGAGGAATGTGTTAGCTGTGTGCCCTAGGACCGATATTTAAATCTCTCCTCATAGGTTTCCTCCTCTGAAATGAAGCAGGAGTAGCATCCACTGCTTAAACAAGATGCCTCTGGAAACTTTATAAACTTTGATAAATGGCTATAGTTAACAGAAAGGTTTCAGGCCTTTTGTTCATAGAGTCGCTATGAGTCATGCTCGACTCAGCAGTAATCATCAACAACAATAACAACATCTGAAATGGGCTTGATAATAAAACATAGCTATCCCCCTGCCCCGATTCCTTGTGAAGAATGAATAAAATATCGCTCCAGCCACATAGCAAGCATTCAGTATTCCAGCTTCTTCCCTTCTCCCCACTCATCCTTGAAGCCTCCAATGTGATGCTTGACAAAAGCAGATGCTCATATATTTGTTGATATGAATTGCAAAGGACCCATTAGCTGAAACACTTCCTCTTACATTAGGATACTTCCTAGGCCTCCAAGAAAAGAGAGTTTTTTAAATGGTGTCCATGAACCATATCAGATATGCCCCTCACCTGTAATTTTATCCATAAAGGGTGCTAACCACAGGAAGAGCATGGCATCCAGCCTTCTCTGAATGTGTGCTGTGTCTTCTCTAAATGTGTGATGGAAGACTGTTATTCTTTGGTTCCCATTATGTTCATTAACTGCATCAACCTGCTAAAAATCAGCTCTGTGGGTGCTGGGCTGATTCACAAGGAGAAAAGAAACTTCACAGAGCCTCCCTGAGGTAGAAAGAGCTTGGCAGGTACCAGGAGAGCAGTGGGATGCATACAATTCATGATACAGCTCCATTTTCATTATTTGTGCGCCTTGATGAACAGGGTCACTGGAAATTTTTGCACAGACACAGCCTGGCATTTTCCATTGCCATTACCACTTACTTCAGAATCTTAATTGCTAGTGTCTTGTCAAGGTTCTTACAGTAGCCTAGGACCCTTCTCTCCCCAACTCTTCAATTACCCAGACTCTTTTTGCATCTGCTGCTCTCCTTTTGCAGTCAGTAAGGAGTTGCACTGCTATCCCAAAGGCAGGAGGTTCAAATCTATCAGCTGCTCCTCAAGAGAAAGACAGATAGACTCCTCCAATGTGATTTGTAGCCTCGATGGCAATGAGTTTTTGTTTACGGAGTTTGTTTTCTTTTGTTTTAATTTTTGAAAATATTTTTATTCCATGAAAACTCCATCTGAATAGGTTTGGCTAGTTTTCTAATAAATGTTGGTTGTGAACGACTTGTTGTGGTTTTTAAAGTTTTTTTTATTTATACTGATTTATTTACAAAGTTTGAATACATTGTTTTTCACATCGGATTTTTCTCATTTCCTTTACACACACCCCCCCATCAAATTGAACAACCGTCTGATTAACACATACACACACACACCCCACCCGTCCTCATCCCTGTGCTTCCACCCTCCCCCCCCCTTTGATTCTCATACTCATTCTACAATAATGGTTTCATACAGTATTTGTCCTTGTGGGACAGAGTTAGTTCACTCAGCATAATACTCTCCAGTCCTTCCCAAGTTAGGTAGTAATTTACAAAATCATTGCTTCTGTGTGCTAGTAATATTCCATAGTATGAATGTACCATAATTTCTCAATCCATTCAATTGTAGTTGGACAACTGGGCTGTTTCTATGTTCTTGTGATGGTGAATAACACTGCTGTGAACATTGGTGTACAGGACTCCAATTGAGCCTCCGTTCTTATTTTCTCTATGGGTTTTTTGTGTTATGAGATTGTTTTGTTTTGAGAGTGAGAATACATGGCAATTACTCAGCTAACCAAAGGACATTGTGTCTTTGACAGCTCTCGTCCACTGGTGGCTCCTCAGAAACCCAAGGCAGGGTCACTATGAATAGGAATTGCCTTGAGGGCAGAAGGAGAGAGCTCTTTGATTGACCAACTCTTCATGTTTCTATTTTGCAAGACACCTTCTCTAATCCCATTGATTATGTACTTTATCCACCTTGTTTTGTGTAAGCAATATATGAATGTGCTTCAGAAAGTCAAGGGAATATTATAAAGAGTACATTAAGGAGTTACTCTCTACTCTGATCTTTGTCTGCCCTACTCGCTCCATCCCCTGAAGGCAATTGCTCTTATTACTTCTTTGCATCTTTGCAAAGCTTCTATATATACATGCAAAAATGCACATTAATTGTTATTTTACTCATTTTCTTAAACTACAAATTTTCATTACATGTATTTATATATATATATGTATACAGATACATGTATTTCTTATTGTGTTACAACATCATAATGTGTGTGTGTGTGTATGACTATACATATTTATTATCGTCATGTGCCATCAAATCAATTATAACTAATAGTGGCTCTATCTAATCTGTCATTCCATTGGTGGATAGATATACTATGTTCATTTCATTTTTCTCATGGATATCTGTAACCCACATTCTTGAAAGGTGATACTTTGCTAGCTTCCACAGTACTTTTACTGTATGAATTCAGAAAAATATGGGACCTTTTGAGTGTCCAAGACAAGCCAGCTCTAGCTTTCAATAAAGGAGGAAGAGTCAGCAATGAGGACAGAAAAATACCATCCAGAGTAGAAGGAAGAAAACTCAGAAAATATGGTACCATGAAAGCAAAGGAATGGTGTAGCTCAAGCAGAGCAATTTATGCCAACTGACAGACAAGCTACTTTCTGTATGCTGGCCCATTAGGATCTGCAGGCTCTTTTTTCCATAAATGGACAGAATTTTTTTTAACTTGTCATTTTGAGTCAGAAGGTTATGTTAAGTGCTGCTTTTCTTTCCTATTGGGGATAGTTGTCCTTAACGGCACATATCTCATCATTAATGTGGTCAATGTAAGCTGAAATGTCTGGCAAAGTACAACATCTGTAAGAGGGTGAGATCCTCTTCTTCCTGTGCTGAAGCTGGATAGCCTATACTTAATTAAGTAAGAAAATAACCATGTAAGTAAGAAAATAACCATGTTGAGAAGGCGGCACTGGGAAGCCATAATAGCAACATATATTCCATTATTTTCATCTCTATTTCCACATGGCCATGTGCCCTTCAGCTGAGATTTCTTTTTTATATTTATATGTCACATATCAGATGTATCAGATTCTTAAGAATAATAGTATGAAATATGATGAGAATTTAAAAAAATTAAAAGAATACTATTTATTAAATTCCATTTAAGATAAAATAGGTCCTAAAATCTCCAGTAAGTTTCTATTCAGAACTCAAATAATCACACATTTTGTCACTCCACAGTACATTTTCCAATAAACGAAAGCATAAATGAAGTTTTTAAAAAGAATACATCAGAAATTTGTGTGTATATCTTATCAATTTCTTAGAAATATGTTTAATGACCTTTTTTAAATTTCTGAGAGTTCTTTTTTCTCTTCTAAAATTAATTCTTCCCACCCTCAGATTCTGAAGATAACATCAGTTCAGTTTGTTGTCAACATCTATTTTCATGGAAGCAGAACTCAAAAACTATCTACCGAGAGTGGCTTTCTGTGTAAGAGAATCAGACTGAGAAGTAGTGGGAGCAGGGAGGGGGTGAGCAGGGGAGTATGGAGGAGTCACTTTGTCTAGTCTGACAAAACCACAATAATAGTTTGATAAATTATGTTTTTTATATACATACTACAGTGCTTTCCTCCAGGCCCAAGCCCGAAAATGTGTCTTTAGAACAGGTTAGAAGACAGTCATTAGTATTTAAAATATTAAAGAGCCTGTGGAAGAGGAAGGACAGTGAATGGGAGGTAGTTAAGTGGATGAGAATCCATGGTGATAAGCAGGCAGAAATGGAATACTGAAAAGAGAAATAAATGACTTGCTGTTTCATTCACTCCCAGCATCACTGTCTTTGTATAGAACCGTTAACATTTCAGAGAATGACACTCCTCTCTGACACTGGTCTTTCCCTCATGTGTTAAGAGATGTCGGCATTTAAATTCAGGAATCCTATTATATGATCTTACCACCAAGGTACTCACAAGTCGAATTTCGTCTTTAAAATATTCAGAAGAATTTTCGTCCTATCTAGTCTTCAAGAAAGCCATAAAAATGAACAATGCCAGTAACAATTACGAAACTAAATTGGCCTTATAAGAATAAAAAAAAAATCAATTTTGCCAGTTTACATTCATGGTGACTAATTTCCATATAAATGATCTGACTTTCTCCAGCCTGAAGATGTGTCTCTGTGCTGCCTCTGTTATTGTTGCTGTTTTGTTTTGTTTTGCTTTAACTATTTTCAATTCTTGGGATGTACCCAGGTGGAAATATTTGAAGGCATGTTGGTGTGTGGTGTCTTTTTCTAATTATCATCTTTTTTTTTTCCTCTTTGGCAGTGTATCAGTTACAGCAAGAGGCACCTCGTCCCAAGAGGATCATTTGTCCTCGGGAGGTCAGTACTTGCCTATTTCGAATACACCTTGTTAAATGTGATGAATTATCAGCTCTCCGCAGCTATTGGAGGTCTTTCCAGTTTCCAGGGGATTGATTTCCATGAAGGTTTGTTAGGGTGTCACCAAATTTAACATCTTCATAATCTATAATATTTTGAAATCAAGTTTTATTTTCAAGTACTCACTAACTTTTCCTTTTTACTGTTGCTTTGACGACTCTTTCCCCCCCCATCCATTATGAAGTATTTCAAGATAACTAGCAGTTAGATACTTAAAAAAACATATTTAGCAAGCATTTATGCCTTGCCATATTTACCTGACATTTAAAAAAATAATGAAAATCTACCAGAAAAGTGACTTTATTTTTATTTCTGGAAATAAGCATGAAAAAAATATATCAACTCATAAATCTGCTTACCAGCCTGCAGAACTCATCCAAGTCAGCCTTCACTAATCAGCGCTCTTATCACCCAGGATTCCAGCGACTTTTGAAAGGCAAGACTAAGGCCCTATTTTCTGTTTTGATTCTGGCTAGTTTCTTTAATGCTCACACTGATACCTTTCAAATCAAAAGCCCTTGAGTTCTTGCGTATTTTGGTTGTTATTAGTTTGATTAAGTGTATAGTAGCAGATACCATTCAGAGTGTCGTGTCTGCCTTACCACGGGGAAAAAGCTTCTGTCTATCACTGTTGTCAGCCATCCTTGAACTTCAGCATTTGCTGGTGGATTGAATTGAATAGGGTTTTGAACTTATCTCAGATTTAGGTACTTACGTATCCACACATAGATTTACCACTGTTTCACACATCTCTCTACCCAAAATTTTACTTCTTTTGAAAGGCATAAAATGTATCAAATAATCTTAATCTTAATGCATACTGGACTTCTTTATTTCAGGAGTATAGCCTGAGAGAAAAATATGTGGTGCTGAAAGGAAAATTGAAGATGAGGTCAGATGTGCATTTGGAAGTCTGATCCTGACCTGTCATTTGTGGTCCTTTGATTATGCATTAGTATCTGAATAAATGAATAGGATAAATACATTATCTTCAATGGCTCATCAGTGAGAAATAAGAAACGTATTGCTTAAAAATGTCCTCACTCCTACTTTTCGTTTAGAATTTTTTCTGATAGAGCAGTAATACTTGTGGAAGGAGCTAGTTATTTGTATGTTTACATTGAATGGATGTTGGTAAAATGAGAATATAACTGATGAGTCTTCCTAGTGGTGTTAATAATGTTGCCAGACATGATCAGGCACCAGCTCTTGAAACCCAGAGGGTAGTAAATATTTAGTCATTCATTCATTTATTTTTTAAAAAAATGTATAGAAGGCTATCTGTACTGACTTTGATGTAAATATTGGGAAACAGCAAATAACTTGACTGTCAGCATTTCACATACCATATTAAAAGAGAAAGATATGATTAAAGACTTGGGCAAGATTGTCCCACCCACATACACACCTAATTGTGTTTTTTAAAGAAAGAAAGAAAGAAATTGAGATTCTTTATTTCTCAGTATCTTTGGAACCATGTCACTTGTTCCTTTAGGTCAGGTATACTTTGTCTGTGCTAATGAGTACATCCAGATACTATTCATAGATACTCTTCCTAGTATTCAGTTCAGAAGCTCCTCAGATACCCGTGGAGTGAAGATCCACCACATAACCATTTAATGTTGTTCTTGGTTAAATTCTCTGCTACAAACCAGAAGATTAGTGGTTCAAATTCACTTTCTGATCTGTGGGAACAAGATGTTGCAGTCTGTTTCTGACACAAGGATAGTGAAGCTTCATCTCACATACTTTGGGCATGTAAAAAAAAAGCTATTCCTTGGAAAGGACATCATGCTTTGAAAAGCAGAGGGTCAGTGAAGGACAGGAAGACCCTCAACAAGATGGATTATCAGTGGCTGTGGCAATGGGCTCAAGTGTGTCAGAAATTATAAAGGTGACACAAGATAGGACAGGGTTCAGATCTGTTGTTCCTAGGGTTGCTATGAATCATACTCATCTTGACAGTACATAATAACAACATAAGGATTCTGTGAGTTGGACTTGACTCAATGGCAGTGGGGTTTTGGTTTGCCAAAGATTAAAGGAAACAATACATAATAATTCCTTTGTTCTGAGGTATTAGCACAGGAGAGTTATGTACTGAAAACCACTGCTGTCTACTACCGCAAAAGATATAAGTGTGGCATTTGTTTGCCTTTTAAACCAAGCTAATGACCTGTATTAGTTTATCCATTAGTAGGTTATGCTTTGTAAATGCTTCATTTTTACTAAGCTGGCATCTAAAAATTCCAAATCACATTTCCCCCATGAAATCTACTGTGCAGTGGACACAATCAGCTCCATTTCCTCTGCAAGCAGCCGGGGCTCAGCCAGCCAAGCAGGTGTCAGGTGATACAGGGGCGAGATTGCTGGAAGAACAGGTGCTGTTTCGATGCACGCCAGCAGGAGTAGCTTCAACTCACTCTGTCCTGCATCAGCTGCAAATAATCCCTGCCCAAATTGCTGTGACCCCAGGACTTGGCTCCCTGTGATGGGTGAAGCGGCTGCTCCTCTTGGATGCAGGTGAAATGGTTGTTCCTGCTGCAGATGGCGTTTAGTCAAATGTCTGTTTTCTTGTAGCACACCTTCCTGCTGGGAGGGCTTGTCTAATGAAGACATAGAGCCTTTTAGTTTGAATGAATGGCCGGAGAGTTCAGAGCTTTATTAACACATTTACATAAAAGCCACGAAAGCTTCTTCTTAGGAGTAACGAGTGAGGATTTTTTTTTTCTCCTATAACTACTTAGGAAAAAAAGAGGCCCTGGTGACAGAGTGCATTTTGTATTGGGTTTCTAACCAAAAGTTCAGTGGTTTGAATACACCATCTTCTCCACAGGAGAAAGGTGAGAAGTCTCCTCACATAAAGATGTACAGGTTCGGAAACCCAGTAGAGGGTCACCAGGAGTTAGAATCTGTTCAGTGGCAGTGAGTTTAATTTTGGTACGGGGGGGGGGGGGGCGGGTCACATAGAAAAGTCCCATCCCTTTGCTGGGTTCTAAGACTCCTGTAAATACACAGCCTTGCTTCATATTGTTGCTAGCTACCATCAAGTCAGCTTCCACCTCATGGCAGCCTCGTGAACAACCTCACAAAGCGCCACTCAACCCCGCACCATCTCCTTTATTGCTTAAGGGTTGGACTGTTTTGATCCATAGAGTTTTCATTGCCTGACTTTCAGAAGACACTTCCAGTCCTTCCTTCCTAGTCTGTCCTACTCTGAAAACTCTACTGAAAGCGATCCAGCATCAGAGGAGCAAGCACACAGACCTCAAATGACAGACAATGATGGGTGCAAAGGTGATGGGCTGTGCTTAAGATACAGAGCTGAGCATTGAATCCACGCCTCTGGCATGAGAGCCAAGAGTTCTGCCACAGAACCATCACTGCTCCCACCATCCTTACTATCATCGAGGCTTACAATCCTTCTCCTCCCTGCACCCTTTCTCTTGTTCTTGTTACGTAACGTGGAACCGACCCATAGCTGACCCTGCAGTGAGTTTTCAGAGGCAGTTAATCTCACAGGAGGAGATTGCCCACCCTTCTCCCATGCAGCTGCTGGTGGGTTCAAACCACATTCTTTGGGTTTGCGGGACAGCTTCACTAGGTCATCAGAGCTCCCTCACCCTATCTCTAGTCCCGGAAAACCTGCTCGGAAAGCTGGGTTGCTCTGATTACTAATAGCATCATGTTTTATGGGACCTATCCCCAGTTAGGATCCTCCACACCCACATTAGAGCCTAAGTGAAATGAAGACATTGACTCCAGCTGGAAACACTGTCGCTTGGGGATACAGACACATTCCCCTGCCTTGAGCGTGGAGGTGGTGTCAGAGGTGTCAAACCACCTTTAGGGCTTTGTTGGAGAGCAAGGTGAGTCAGAGACACAGCCTGACTCAGCTGACAGCTCAACAAGCTTAGCCAACCCTGACAGGCACGGTGGTCTGGCTGCAGAATCAGCTGGACTTGTTTGGAATCCTTACTCCACACTTTCTGGCTGTGTGAGTTTGTGCCAGTTCCTTGCTCTCAGGGAGATTAAGGTCTAACTGGAGGGCAAACATCTACTTTGTAGGGCTTATCTCAACGGGACACATGTATCAAGTGTCTAGAATGGTGCTTGCCACACAATGGCTGCTCATATTATGCTAATGAGTCATCAGAATCACAAACCAAGCAAGTTCTGAGACAGTCATTAGGGACAGTCTGAAAGGTGGCAAAATCCCCCGAGTGTGTGGGCAAGAAAAGCAGTGACCAAGAATAAAGCAAGATGCCCAGGTCAGGAAATCCGTCCCCAGGAAAAAGATACAGAGGCCGAGGAACAGAAGGCGCAAGCTGAGCACCGGCGCTGGAGCCAATTAAACTGGGCAGGGTCAGCCCCCGAAATAACAGTTCATCGCTTTCTTGAAACTCCTCACTGTAAATTAATATTTATTGAGCAGCCACGGCACCTGGCACTCTGCTGGCATTTCCTGAGCGCCCCTTGCCAGGAGATCCTAAATGTCTCCCAGAATGCAAAATTCTCACTTGCCCTTTTCGGCAATTATCTATCAGTCATTTTATGAGCATTTATTGATTGCCAAATGTGTGCCTGGCTGGGCAGCCAGGAACTGGACAGAATATTGACTCGCAAATTTGTGTCGCTGGCCAAGACTGCTCTCCTGGGTGGCAAACCCCCATCCATCTGTTCACCAGCTTCACGTGGTGTCTCCCAGGTCAGCTCTACCCTAGTGTCAACATAGAACTGACTCTGTCCATCCCATAATACCTAACTTCAGAAGCCAGGGGGGGTCACACTAAGCTATTCCCTTTCCTACTCATTTCCATTGTTTAGCTTGACCTTCAAATATATATATTGGTTTTGCCCACCTTCCTCTAACGTGAAGCCATTATAATTTCTTACCTGGACAATTATAAATAAGCAGTTAGTGTTGCCTGGCATACTTC